CTGAAACGCTGGTTTTAAATGGGGATCAGATTAATATATTTAATATCACTCCTGTAATCGTGGTTTAATGTTTTAATCAATCTGCTTCTGATTTGTTTTGTTTTATATTTGTTGACATTTTAATGATTTCGTTGCTCTTTTTGTAAATTTTATTTTCTGTCTGAAACATTTCTACGGTTCAGATGTGTTGTTGTCATGGCGATGAACCAGAACCAGAACCATGAAGCTCACTTTGAGGGAAGGAGGTCACTCCTCCTCTTCCTCAGGAAGATGAAGCAGAGCCGCGTCTCTCCTGGTGCAGCAACATGGCGGCGGCTCGATGTTCCTGGCAGCGTGCAGCTGTCACCATAGCAACGGCTGCAGTAGAAGTTTCTTTTTACTGATGTGGGTAACTGATTTGTGCAATAACAGTTCATCTCGTTTTCTAGTCCTGCTCTAATCGATGACATGAATGCTAGATAACCTTATTTTTGTAAAGAAAATGAAAAGTGTAAAAATATTTACGTGAATAAGAAGCGGCGGCGGCGGTGGTGGCGGCGCGGCGAAGTTTCTGATTGAAAGGAGAAGGTTTCCCAGAAGTGACCACTTCCATTTGCACTCCTGCTTTCTGGGAAAGCTTCTCCAGCCTCGTGGACCGCAGCCGCAGCTCCTTCCTCCGTCAGCCATCTTTATCCACGCCTTACAAACTGTCCCTCAGAGGAACATGTGGTCCAAACCTGGGAGGAAAACTAAACCCAGAGCTGCTGTTCAAATGAAAAACTCAAACCTGTTTTTTTTGTACATTCTGATGAATAAATCTGATTTTAACAAACGATGCATCTGAGCTTCCTGCTGCCTCTGATTCCCCTGCAGCCACAGCTGGAGCACAGCTGGACTCGTGCTGCTGCCCACGCAGCTCTGCACAGCAGCTCACTTCTGCAGCTTATCATCAATATTTCACTGCGTTTCTACTCTAGATCTAAACATCTTCAGCCCTTCTGAGCAGAACCAGTTTAAATCATGAAGTTCTGCAGGAACCATAGCGCCACCGTGTCTGAAGCGTGACTTATCGCTTATTAAAAGCTGTTCCAGTTCTACGTCAGCATGTTCTAAACCAGGTCAAATCAATGCCTGCATGTGGTAACAGTGGGAAGGAAAACCCTCCCTTAGCAGCAACCAACCAGTAGAACCAGAACCAGTCTTCCACTATAACCAGTGAGGACTTTGAAGAAACTGAGGAAGGCACACTGAAGGATATCAGCAGCACTGATCTAGGAAAACTTTCTATGTTAGGGAAAGTAGAAGGTGAGGCGCAGGAGGAGTTCCTGAACTGGTGTCATCTGGGAGAGGATCTGGTCTAGAAGATGAAAGGGAGCAGCTCCAGTTAGTCCCAGTAAACCCAGTAGCAATGACTGGAATGCTGCTCTACAGTCAGACTTCCCACTCAGCAAGTTTTTCAAGGCTGACCTTAGATCCAAAATGGCTGCTCCAAGTACCGTTTTCTGGGAAGAAAGTGTGGGGTTAGAGGTGGTCTGAATAAAGAGGGACGTTCCTCTGAGGTCCATCATCTCTGCTGGTCATCTCCATGTTAGAGTCTCCTACCAACACTGGGAACTCTGGTGTGATGTCATTCCTGCTCTGTTAATCACTTCCTGCAGGACAGGAGAGAATCCCGGGAGAAAGAGGGAACATCAGGTCAGGTGCAGCTTCTATGAAGAAGAAGGGTCTCCAAGTTCAGAACAAGGAAGAGATGTGAAAAGGTCCTGATTGGACCTTCTGGGCCGTAAACCCTGATGATGATTCTGCCTTTAATGAGATGAACTGCTGGAAGTTCTGCTCTGCTGTTAGAATCCTGCACATCCTAACCGTAGACATTCGCTTTCATAGAGCAGCAATTAAGCTTAGCTGACTTTAACTATGTTTGAACTTTGAAGAGTTTTTACCTAAATTCTGTTTAACTTTATTCCTATTTTAATGGAAGTTGTGGTGAATTTATTCCATATATATCCTGATTGATCTGTTTGGATGAATCTATTCCTGAAACAGGAGCAGCTTGACTCACAATGAAAAATGAACTTTATAGTCGGAGATCATGAAACCTCAGACGGGTCCGTTTCTCCGGTTCCATCCAGCAGAACTGGGCCAGTTTTCCATCAGATTTAGTAAACGATCCAAAGACTCGACTCAGAATGAGAAGGTTGATTTATTTCATTACTATGAATGTAAAATTAGTTGGAGAGAAGGAGGAGGATGACGGATTAAATGAATAATCCAACACAGAAAGCTGAAAGACGGCCTGTCTCTGTTCTGCTCAGTGGGGGTTTGGGTTTAGACTGATAAGAAGCTAACTGACCTGCAGGGACCACAGGAGGTCTTTCTGCTGAGAAGGTTTCCTCTCAGCAAGTCTGTAAATTCATCCTCAGCGGTTTTCACTGCATCCATGGATTAAAGAGGAGCAACAGTGGAGCAGGAGGAGCAGGAGGAGCAGATCAGATGGTTCTGCAGCCGCTGTGTCCTCCTGCTATCCATCCATCTACATATAAAGCAACATGAAAATCCATGGCTGTGCTGTAGAGGACAGCATCTGGACTCTAAAGATCTATAAGCGCTGCTGAAACAGCCTGATGAGCTCAATATGGTGGTCAGGAGGGCGGGCTGCTGAAGCAGGGAGGAACTGGACCTCCTCCTGCCCGGTTCTGGACGTCTAACCTTCATCTAAAGGTGGATGGGATGTTCTCAGCAGGTCTTTGATTTCACAAAGACCGGTTCTTCATTACCTGAAGGAGATGATGGACCACAGTGATCTTCATCAAACTGTTAAACACCAACAGCGTCTTCAGTCAGAGGCTGATCCAGGTCAGCTGCAGACAGACCTCTGCAGGAGATGCTTCCTGCCTCCAGCAGCTGGATGGAGAACGGTCCATGATCTCCAGAAACATTTCATCTCCATCTGGGATTAAAACAGTTTGGCTGCACTTCGTCACGTCTCACTAAACGTATTTCATTTCAGGGCGTTTTTATTTAACAGACGATGTTTTTGTTCCTGAGATTAAACAAAGTCAGCAGGAATAATCGATTGATCATTATTAATCCCTAAAACTAATACTAATTGATTTAACTATTTAGTGTTAATCAGTAAAAAATAAAAACAATCATTTTCGTGGCGATCACTGAGTCTGGGAGCGGCCAT